AACAGGACATACTTACACCATCATTGAAACAGGTTTCTGTAAAGAGAAAAAAAAAGGTCAAACAGAACATAGTTAATGATGGTTTTTAAGGCATCTTACAGTCCCCTAACTTTGCTGTTGGGGTGACTAATTACTAGCTAAAAGCTTGAATAGGAAGGAGAGAATTTCATACTTTAATTTTCTAAGTACTACGTTCAAACAAGTGTACTGTGAAAGAGCTCCCTCTCATTCACCTTTACCTAGCACCTCACTCTCCCCACAAGCAACAGTAATACACATTTCTACATACCCTTCAGAAATATCCTATGCATAGACAAGCAAATAAGCACATTTTATCAATAAAAAAATTAATATATGACCTTAAAGATTTTAATAGTATTTTCAATATCAGATTCCATAGTCTTTTTAGCATAATGAAGTGTCAAGCAAAGATTTCATAGTCTTTTTTTTTTTTTTGAGACAGAGCCTCAGGCTGTCCCCCTGGGTAGAGTACCGTGGCATCACAGCTCACAGCAACCGCCAACTCCTGGGCTCAAGCAAGTCTCCTGCCTTAGCCTCCCAAGTAGCTGGGACCACAGGCACTTGCCACAATGCCCAGCTATTTTTTGGTTGCAGCCATCATTGTTTTGGCAGGCCCGGGCTGGATTCAAACCCACCACTTTAGGTTCATGTGGCTGGTGCCTTAGCCACTTGTGCCACAGGCGCCGAGCCAGATTTCAGTCTTATGCTGACAGTCTCATGGAGGTACTTTCATGTTTATGTCACACTTGCATCTTTCTCAAAGTAGTGGAAATTTCAATTGGGTTCCTGGGGCTGAAAGAAATACTAACCATGGCAATTTTAAGAAACCCTAGACATGATAATATTCACTGTGAAAATTCTTAGTTAAATTGATCTGATATACATACATGCTTAACCAATGTTAAATTCACAAATGCATAGTTCATGCTACAATATAATTTCAAGACTACAACGCCATAAACAATATTTTAGTTACTAACAGTAAAAATAGGGTATACATTTTTTTATAAAACATATTTTAGAAAAAAAAAAAAACATTTTAGGGCAGCACCTGTGACTCAAAGGAGTAGGGCACCGGCCCCATAGCCGGAGGTGGCAGGTTCAAACCCAGCCCCAACCAAAAACTGTAAAAAAAACTTGCTGGTCTCTTTGCATGGGATACCCATCTGGGTGGTGTAAAGTTCCCCTACTCAGCAACCCAGATACTCCTCCAATATTAACACTTATC